TGAAAAAGGGCGGAAAGATGAAACAGGGAGAAAAGGGCAAAAAGAGTGAAAAGGAAGAAAAGGGCAAAAAGAGTCAAAAGAGCGGAACGAGGAAAAGGAGAAAAGGGAGGAAAGAGTGAAAAGGAGAAAAAAGGCAAAAAGTGAAAAAAGAGCGGAAAGTGTAAAAATGGAGAAAAGGGCGGAAAGAGGAAAAAGGGAGAAAAAGGCAAAAAAGAGTGAAAAATGCGTGAAGAGTGAAAAGGAGAATAGGGTGAAAAGAATGAAAAGAGCGGACAGAGGAATAGGGAGAATATGGCGGAAAAAGCGAAAAGTGCGGACAGAGTGAAAAGAGAGAAAATGGCGGAAAGAGGAAAAAGCGGGACAGAGTGAAAAGGGGTGATAGGGGAAAAAAGTGAAAAAAAGGGACAGAGGAAAAGGGGAGAATAGGGCGGAAGTAGGAAAAAGAGCGGACAGAGAAAAGGAGAAAAAATGGTGGAAAGAGGAAAAGAGTTGACAGAGGAAAAGGGAGAATAGGGCGAAAAAGAGGAAAAGAGGGGCAGAGTGAAAAAAGAGAAAAGGCAAAAAAAGTGAAAAAAGGCGAAAAGTGTGAAAACGGAGAAAAGGGCAAAAAAAAGAGGAAAAGGGCGTAAAGAATGAAAAGGAAGAAAAGGGCGGAAAGAGTGAAAAAAAAGGAGAAAAGTGCAGAAAGAACGAAAAGGAGAAAAGGGCAAAAAAGAGGAAAATTGGGGAAAGTGTGAAAAAGAAGAAAAGGGCTGAAAGAGTGAAAATTGTGGAAAGAGTAAAAAGGAAGAAAGGGGCGGAATGTGTGAAAAGAGCGGACAGAGTAAAAAGGGAGAAAAGCGCGAGAAGAGTGAAAAGAGCGGACAGAGTGAAAAGCGAGAATAGGGCGAAAAGTGTGAAAGTGGCGGAAAGAGTGAATTGGGAAAAAGTGCGTAAAGAATGAAAAGGGAGAAAAGGGAAAAGTTTGAAAAGGGCGGAAAGTGTGAAAAGGAAGAAAAGGGCGAAAAGTGTGAAAAGTGAGAAAGGTGGAAGAGTGAGGAGGGAGAATAGGGCAAAATGAGTGGAAAGAGCGGTCAGAGTGAAAAGGGAGAAAAGGGCAGAAATAGTGAAAAGAGCGGACAGAGTGAAAAGGGAGAAAAAGGCGAAAAGAGGAAAACAGCGGACAGAGGAAAAGCGAGAATAGGGCGAAAAGTGTGAAAATCGCGCATAGAGTGAAAAAGGAGAATAGGGCGAAAAAAAAGTGAAAAAAGAGCGGACAGAGTGAAAAGGGTGAAAATGATGGAAAGAGTGAAAAAGAGCGGACAGAGGAAAAAAGGGAGAAAAAAGGTGGGAAACAGTGGACAGAGTGAAAAAGGGAGAATAGGGCGAAAAAGAAATAAAAAGAGCGGACAGAGTGAAAAAGGGAGAAAAGGGCAAAAAAGTTTTAAAGGGCGGAATGGGTGAAAAAGGAAGAAATGGGCGGAAAGAGGAAACGGAAGAAAAAGGGCAGAAAGTGTGAAAAGTGAAAAAGCGTGAAAGTGTGAGAAGGGAGAATAGGGGCAAAAAAAGTGAAAAGGGCGGACAAGGTGAAAAAGGAGGAATGGGCGGAAAAAGAGTGGAAAGAGCGGTCAGAGTGAAAAGGGAGAAAAGGACGGAAATAGAGAAAAAGAGCGGACAGAGTGAAAAGGGAGAAAAAGGCGAAAAGAGTGAAAAGAGCGGACAGACTGAAAAGCGAGAATAGGGCGAAAAGTGTGAAAATCGTGCATAGAGTGAAAAGGGAGAAAAGGGCGAAAAGAGTGAAAACAGTGGACAGAGTGAAAAGGGAGAATAGGGCGAAAAAAGTGAAAAGAGCGGAGAGATTGAAAAGCGAGAATTGGGCGAAAAGTGTGAAAATCGTGCATAGAGTGAAAAGGGAGGACAGGGCGAAAGAGTGAAAAAATCGGACAGAGTGAAAAGGGAGAAAAAGGCGAAAAGAGTGAAAAGGGAAAACAGTGCGTAAAGAATGAAAAGGGGGAAAAGGGCAAAAAGTTTGAAAAGGGCGGAATGAGTGAAAAGTTTGAAAAGGGCGGAAAGTGTGAAAAGGAAGAAAAGGGCGGTAAAAATAAAAAGGGAGAAAAGGGCAAAAAGGGTGAAAAGGTCGAAAAGAGTGAAAAGGAAGAAAAGGGCGGAAAGTGTGAAAAGTGAGAAAAGCATGGAAGAGTGAGAAGGGAGAATAGGGCAAATAGAGTGAAAAGGACGGACAGAGTGAAGAGGGAGAATAGGGCGAAAAGAATGAAAAGATCGGACAAAGTGGAAAGGGAGAATAGGGTGAAAAGAATGAAAAGAGCGGACAGAGTGAAAAGGGAGAAAATGGCGGAAAGAGTGAAAAGTGCGGACAGAGTGAAAAGGGAGAAAAATGCGAAAGCAGTGAAAACAGTGGACAGAGTGAAAAGGGAGAAAATGGCGGAAAGAGTGAAAAGAGCGGACAGAGTGAAAAGTGAGAAAAGGGCGGAAAGAGTGAAAAGAGAGAATAGGGCAAAAAGAGTCAAAAGAGCGGCAAGAGTGAAAAGGGAGAAAAGTGCGGAAAGAGTGAAAAGAGCAGAAAGAGTGAAAAGGGAGAATAGGGCAAAAAGAGTGAAAAGAGCGGAAAGAGTGAAAAGAGAGAAAAGGGCAAAAAGAGTGAAATGGTCGGAAAGAGTGAAAAGGTAGAAAAGGGCAAAAAGTGTGAAAAAAGGAGAAAATGTCAAAAAAAAAGTGAAAAAAGTGCAGAATGTGTGAAAATTGAAAAAAGGGCGGAAAGAGTGAAAAGAGAGAATAGGGCAACAAGAGTCAAAAGAGCGGAAAGACTGAAAAAGGGAGAAAAAAGTGCAAAAAAAGGAGAAAGGGGCGGAAAAAGAGTGAAAAGGAGAAAAGGCAAAAAAAAATAAAAATGACGGAAAGAGTGAAAAAGGGAGAAAATGGCGGAAAGAGTGAAAAAAAAGAAAAAAGGCAAAACGATGTGAAAAGGGCGGAAAAAGAGTGACAAGGGCGGAAGAGTGTAAAAAGGTGAAAAAGGACAGAAAGTGCAAAAAAAAAGAAAGGGCAAAAGAATGAAATAGAGTGAAAAGGACAGGCAGAGTGAAGAGGGAGAATAGGGCGAAAAAGAGTGAAAAGGGAGGAAAAGAGTGAAAAAAAGGGAGAAAAGGGCAAAAAAGTGAAAAAAGAGCGGAAAGTGTAAAAATGGAGAAAAGGGGAAAAAGTGAAAAAAGGGAGAAAGGGCAAAAAAAGTGAAAAAATGCGTGAAAAGAGTGAAAAGTGAGAATAGGGTGAAAAGAATGAAAAGAGCGGACGGAGTGAATAGGGAGAATATGGCGGAAAAAGCGAAAAGTGCGGACAGAGTGAAAAGAGAGAAAATGGCGGAAAGAGTGAAAAGCGCGGACAGAGTGAAAAGGGTGATATGGGGAAAAGAGTGAAAAAAGCGGACAGAGTGAAAAGGGAGAATAGGGCGGAAGGAAAAAGAGCGGACAGAGTGAAAAGGGAAAATGGTGGAAAAGAGTGAAAAGAGTTGACAGAGTGAAAAGGGAGAATAGGGCGAAAAGAGTGAAAAGAGAGGGCAGAGTGAAAAGAGAGAAAAGGGCAAAAAGAGTGAAAATGGCGAAAAGTGTGAAAACGGAGAAAAGGGCAAAAAAAAAGTGAAAAGGGCGTAAAGAATGAAAAAAGGAAGAAAAGGGCGGAAAGAGGAAAAAGGAGAAAAGTGCGGAAAGAACGAAAAAAGGGAGAAAAAGGGCAAAAAAGAGGAAAATTGGGGAAAGTGTGAAAAAAAAAGAAAAAAGGGCTGAAAGAGTGAAAATTGTGGAAAGAGTAAAAAAAAGAAAGGGGCGGAATGTGTGAAAAAGAGCGGACAGAGTAAAAAGGGAGAAAAGGGCGAAAAGAGTGAAAAGAGCGGACAGAGTGAAAAGCGAGAATAGGGCGAAAAGTGTGAAAGTGGCGGAAAGAGTGAATTGAGAAAAGTGCGTAAAGAATGAAAAGGGCGGAAAGTGTGAAAAGGAAGAAAAGGGCGAAAAAAAGTGTGAAAAAAGGAAGAAAAAGGGCGAAAAGTGTGAAAAGTGAGAAAAAGTGGAAGAGTGAGGAGGGAGAATAGGGCAAAATGAGTAGAAAAGAGCGGTCAGAGTGAAAAGGGAGAAAAAGGCAAGAAGTAGTGAAAAAGAGCGGACAGAGGGAAAGGGGAGAAAAAAGGCGAAAAAGAGGAAAAACAGCGGACAGAGTGAAAAGCGAGAATAGGGCGAAAAGTGTGAAAATCGCGCATAGAGTGAAAGGAGAATAGGGCGAAAAAAAAGTGAAAAGAGCGGACAGAGTGAAAAGGGTGAAAATGATGGAAAGAGTGAAAAGAGCGGACAGAGTGAAAAAGGGAGAAAAGGGTGAAAACAGTGGACAGAGTGAAAAGGGAGAATAGGGCGAAAAAAAATAAAAGAGCGGACAGAGTGAAAAAAAGGGAGAAAAAGACAAAAAAAAAAAAGTTTGAAAAGGGCGGTAAAAATGAAATGGGAGAAAAGGGCGGAAAAGAGTGAAACGGAAGAAAAGGGCGGAAAAGTGTGAAAAGTGAAAAAAGCGTGAAAGTGTGAGAAGGAGAATAGGGCAAAAAAAAAGAGTGAAAAGGGCGGACAAGGTGAAAAAAAAGGGAGGAATGGGCGGAAAGAGTGGAAAGAGCGGTCAGAGTGAAATAGGAGAAAAGGACGGAAATAGAGAAAAAGAGCGGACAGAGTGAAAAGGGAGAAAAAAGGCGAAAAAAAAAAAAAAAGCGGGACAGATTGAAAAGCGAGAATAGGGCGAAAAGTGTGAAAATCGTGCATAGAGTGAAAAAGGGAGAAAAGGGCGAAAAGAGTGAAAACAGTGGACAGAGTGAAAAGGGAGAATAGGGCGAAAAAAAATGAAAAGAGCCGACAGATTGAAAAACGAGAATATGGCGAAAAATGTGAAAATCGTGCATAGAGTGAAACGGGAGAATAGGGCGAAAAGAAATAAAAGAGCGGACAGAGTGAAAAGGGAGAAAAGGGCAAAAAGTTTTAAAAGGGCGGAATGGGTGAAAAGGAAGAAATGGGCGGAAAGAGTGAAACGGAAGAAAAGGGCAGAAAGTGTGAAAAGTGAGAAAAGCGTGAAAGTGTGAGAAGGGAGAATAGGGCAAAAAGAGTGAAAAGGGCGGACAAGGTGAAAAGGGAGGAATGGGCGGAAAGAGTGGAAAGAGCGGTCAGAGTGAAAAGGGAGAAAAGGACGGAAATAGAGAAAAGAGCGGACAGAGTGAAAAGGGAGAAAAAGGCGAAAAGAGTGAAAAGAGCGGACAGACTGAAAAGCGAGAATAGGGCGAAAAGTGTGAAAATCGTGCATAGAGTGAAAAGGGAGAAAAGGGCGAAAAGAGTGAAAACAGTGGACAGAGTGAAAAGGGAGAATAGGGCGAAAAAAGTGAAAAGAGCGGAGAGATTGAAAAGCGAGAATTGGGCGAAAAGTGTGAAAATCGTGCATAGAGTGAAAAGGGAGGACAGGGCGAAAGAGTGAAAAAATCGGACAGAGTGAAAAGGGAGAAAAAGGCGAAAAGAGTGAAAAGGGAAAACAGCGCGTAAAGAATGAAAAGGGGGAAAAGGGCAAAAAGTTTGAAAAGGGCGGAATGAGTGAAAAGTTTGAAAAGGGCGGAAAGTGTGAAAAGGAAGAAAAGGGCGGTAAAAATAAAAAGGGAGAAAAGGGCAAAAAAAGGTGAAAAAGGTCGAAAAAAGTGAAAAGGAAGAAAAGGGCGGAAAGTGTGAAAAGTGAGAAAAAAGCATGGAAGAGTGAGAAGGAGAATAGGGCAAAATAGAGTGAAAAGGACGGACAGAGTGAAGAGGAGAATAGGGCGAAAAGAATGAAAAAAGATCGGACAAAGTGGAAAGGGAGAATAGGGTGAAAAGAATGAAAAGAGCGGACAGAGTGAAAAGGGAGAAAATGGCGGGAAAGAGTGAAAAGTGCGGACAGAGTGAAAAGGGAGAAAAATGCGAAAGCAGTGAAAACAGTGGACAGAGTGAAAAAAGGAGAAAATGGCGGAAAAAGTGAAAAGAGCGGACAGAGGAAAAGTGAGAAAAAGGGCGGAAAAGTGAAAAGAGAGAATAGGGCAAAAAAGTCAAAAAAAGAGCGGCAAGAGTGAAAAGGGAGAAAAGTGCGGAAAAAGTGAAAAAAGAGCAGAAAAAGAGTGAAAAAAAGGAGAATAGGGCAAAAAAAAAGTGAAAAAAAGAGCGGAAAAAGTGAAAAAAAAGAAAAGGCAAAAAAAAAAGAAATGGTCGGAAAAGAGTGAAAAAAAAAAGGTAGAAAAGGGCAAAAAGTGTGAAAAAGGAGAAAATGTCAAAAAGAGTGAAAAGTGCAGAATGTGTGAAAATTGAAAAAAGGGCGGAAAGAGTGAAAAGAGAGAATAGGGCAACAAGAGTCAAAAGAGCGGAAAGACTGAAAAGGGAGAAAAAAAAAAAAAAAAAAAAAGGAGAAAGGGGCGGAAAGAGTGAAAAGGGAGAAAAGGGCAAAAAAAGGTGAAAAGGGCGGAAAGAGTGACAAGGGCGGAAGAGTGTAAAGGTAGAAAAGGACAGAAAGTGCAAAAAGGGAGAAAGGGCAAAAAGAATGAAATAGAGTGAAAAGGACGGGCAGAGTGAAGAGGGAGAATAGGGCGAAAAGAGTGAAAAGGGAGGAAAGAGTGAAAAGGGAGAAAAGGGCAAAAAGAGTGAAAAGAGCGGAAAGTGTAAAATGGAGAAAAGGGTGGAAAGAGTGAAAAGGGAGAAAAGGGCAAAAAGAGTGAAAAATGCGTGAAGAGTGAAAAGGGAGAATAGGGTGAAAAGAATGAAAAGAGCGGACAGAGTGAATAGGGAGAATATGGCGGAAAAAGCGAAAAGTGCGGACAGAGTGAAAAGAGAGAAAATGGCGGAAAGAGTGAAAAGCGCGGACAGAGTGAAAAGGGTGATATAGGGAAAAGAGTGAAAAAAGCGGACAGAGTGAAAAGGGAGAATAGGGCGGAAGTAGGAAAAAGAGCGGACAGAGTGAAAAGGGAGAAAATGGTGGAAAGAGTGAAAAGAGTTGACAGAGTGAAAAGGGAGAATAGGGCGAAAAGAGTGAAAAGAGAGGGCAGAGTGAAAAGAGAGAAAAGGGCAAAAAGAGTGAAAAAGGCGAAAAGTGTGAAAACGGAGAAAAGGGCAAAAAGAGTGAAAAGGGCGTAAAGAATGAAAAGGAAGAAAAGGGCGGAAAGAGTGAAAAGGGAGAAAAGTGCGGAAAGAACGAAAAGGGAGAAAAGGGCAAAAAGAGTGAAAATTGGGGAAAGTGTGAAAAAGAAGAAAAGGGCTGAAAGAGTGAAAATTGTGGAAAGAGTAAAAAGGAAGAAAGGGGCGGAATGTGTGAAAAGAGCGGACAGAGTAAAAAGGGAGAAAAGGGCGAAAAGAGTGAAAAGAGCGGACAGAGTGAAAAGCGAGAATAGGGCGAAAAGTGTGAAAGTGGCGGAAAGAGTGAATTGGGAAAAGTGCGTAAAGAATGAAAAGGGCGGAAAGTGTGAAAAGGAAGAAAAGGGCGAAAAGTGTGAAAAGGAAGAAAAGGGCGAAAAGTGTGAAAAGTGAGAAAAGTGGAAGAGTGAGGAGGGAGAATAGGGCAAAATGAGTAGAAAGAGCGGTCAGAGTGAAAAGGGAGAAAAGGGCAGAAGTAGTGAAAAGAGCGGACAGAGTGGAAAGGGAGAAAAAGGCGAAAAGAGTGAAAACAGCGGACAGAGTGAAAAGCGAGAATAGGGCGAAAAGTGTGAAAATCGCGCATAGAGTGAAAGGAGAATAGGGCGAAAAAAGTGAAAAGAGCGGACAGAGTGAAAAGGGTGAAAATGATGGAAAGAGTGAAAAGAGCGGACAGAGTGAAAAGGGAGAAAAGGGTGAAAACAGTGGACAGAGTGAAAAGGGAGAATAGGGCGAAAAGAAATAAAAGAGCGGACAGAGTGAAAAGGGAGAAAAGGGCAAAAAGTTTGAAAAGGGCGGTAAAAATGAAATGGGAGAAAAGGGCGGAAAGAGTGAAACGGAAGAAAAGGGCGGAAAGTGTGAAAAGTGAGAAAAGCGTGAAAGTGTGAGAAGGGAGAATAGGGCAAAAAGAGTGAAAAGGGCGGACAAGGTGAAAAGGGAGGAATGGGCGGAAAGAGTGGAAAGAGCGGTCAGAGTGAAATAGGAGAAAAGGACGGAAATAGAGAAAAGAGCGGACAGAGTGAAAAGGGAGAAAAAGGCGAAAAGAGTGAAAAGGGCGGACAGATTGAAAAGCGAGAATAGGGCGAAAAGTGTGAAAATCGTGCATAGAGTGAAAAGGGAGAAAAGGGCGAAAAGAGTGAAAACAGTGGACAGAGTGAAAAGGGAGAATAGGGCGAAAAAAAATGAAAAGAGCCGACAGATTGAAAAGCGAGAATATGGCGAAAAATGTGAAAATCGTGCATAGAGTGAAAAGGGAGGACAGGGCGAAAGAGTGAAAAAATCGGACAGAGTGAAAAGGGAGAAAAGGGCGGAAATAGTGAAAAGGGAAAAAAGTGCGTAAAGAATGAAAAGGTGGAAAAGGGCAAAAAGTTTAAAAATGGCGGAAAGTGTGAAAAGGAAGAAAAGGGCGGTAAAAATGAAATGGGAGAAAAGGGCAAAAAGGGTGAAAAGGTCGAAAAGAGTGAAAAGGAAGAAAAGGGCGGAAAGTGTGAAAAGTGAGAAAAGCATGGAAGAGTGAGAAGGGAGAATAGGGCAAAAAGAGTGAAAAGGGCGGACAGAGTGAAGAGGGAGAATAGGGCGAAAAGAATGAAAAGAGCGGACAGAGTGGAAAGGGAGAATAGGGCGAAAAGAATGAAAAGAGCGGACAGAGTGAAAGGGTGAAAATGGTGGAAAGAGTGAAAAGAGCGGACAGAGTGAAAAGGGAGAAAAGGGCGAAATGAGTGAAAAGAGCGGACAGAGTGAAAAGGGAAAAAAGTGCGTAAAGAATGAAAAGGGAGCGTGTAAAAAGTGAAAAGGGCGAAGTGTGAAAAAAGAGACAAAATGTGGAAAGGGTGAATAGAGAAAAAAAATTGGTAAGAGTAAAAAGAGAGAAAAGTGTTGAAAGAGAGAAAAGCTTCGAAAGAGTGAAAATAGTAAAGAGTGGAAAAAGGTAAAAAGAGAGAAAAGTGTGGAAGCGGGAAAAGAGAAAACAGAGTGAAAAATGTTGAAAGAGAGGCAAGCGCGGAAAGAATTAAAAGAGAGGCACTCTGTGAGAAAAGAGAGAAAATAGTGGAAAATGTTGAAAGAGAGGTAAGCATGGAAAGAGTGAAAAGTGAGGCACGATGTTAGAAAAGGGAAAAAGTAGAAAATGTTAAAAGAGAGGTTAGCGTGGAAAGAGTGAAAAGAGAGGTACGATGTGTGAAAAGAGGGAAAAAAGTGGAAAATGATGAAAGAGAGATAAGCGTGGAAAGAGTGAAAAGAGAGGCATTCTGTGAGAAAAGAGAGAAAATAGTGAAAAGTGTGAAATGAGTCATAGAATTGAAAAGTGTGGAAAGTGTAAAATGTGATAAATGAGAGAAAAGGATTTGAAAGAATGAAAAAGAGAAAAAAGAATGAAGAATGGAAATTGTGAAATGTGAAATGTGAGATAAAAGAATGGAAAGAGATTGAAACGAGACAAACAAGTGACGAGAGAGAAAACCCTGGAAAGAATGAAGAGAGAGAAATGCGAGAAAAAAGTGAGAAGTGAAAAAAAGAAAGGAACATGTAGAAAGAGAGGAAATAGAGGAAAGAGAGAAAAAAGGGGAAAGCATGTAAAGATTGAAAAGAGGGGAACTATTAGAAAGTTTGTTAAGTGAGAAAAGAGCGCAAAGTGTAGAATGAGTAAAAAGCGTGAAAAGAGAGAAGAAGAGGGGAAGGAACATTTTCTCGCATGTAAAATTCTGTTCTAGCTTCTTGCTTTCAAGTCAACTGTACTTTTCAAAAAATTAAATGCAATCTCAATCATTATCTTCTGTCTTCGCAATTCGTGTTCGTTTATTTCTCTCTCTCTCTCTCTCTTTAATAATGTTTTCTTTTTTCATATTCTTTTACACTGAGTAACCCTTTGAGTCTTAGTGGCTTTATAGCCTTGCTTTTGGTAAAATGATTAAAGAAAATCTCTAGCTCAGTCTCCAAATTATCGATTTCACTACTATCTAGGAAAAAATCCGCTGTGCCAATACCTCTTCCTACTTCTCTACCACAACAACTTCCACACATAACAGTAGATGTACAGTCATTGAGTATCTGGGTATAGTTTTATTTAAGCGCTCGACTTTTATGATATCTCATTCATCATGTTCACCATAATGTCCAGAGAGCTGTCCGAGAATATGGAAAAAGAATGGCTATTAACAAAAATCCTTAATAGACACATTTACTGCAAAACAGATTTCAAGAAAATAGAATGACTAAATTATCACTAATTATAACAACACACGTATAATATGGCGGCGACTTTTCAGTTACGTTATGGTTTGTTGATAAAGAAAAACTATATTTTCAATGCATATCTTTCAAAACTGGCTGCTTTAAGAAACTTGTTTTTTTTTTTTTGGTAAATAACATTAACCATGTGGCAGGAAGGTCTTTTGTATCAAGCATCATGCTCGATAAGGATTTATTCATATTTACATTCTTACCAAATCGAAATTGCAGATTTTACAAACAGAATATTCAAGAATTACACGTTTAGCTTTGATTTAAAATCAAAATTTTCCGCGTTTTCATTAACCTGTGATAAAGAACATTAAGTCGTGTCCTTCGGTCTGCAGTTCAGCGCTCTAACCATTTAAACCTAAATCATAAGTGTTTGATTACACACGCTTCTTACTTTTCTAGATTGAGAGGTTCAAAATAGTTAAACAATTCAAACTTTTCAACTCAATAAAACTAACCTTTTGTTGACCTTGTGCAGGTATATATATATATATAATATTGAAAAGCTTATTATTTTCCTGATCCAGATGTCGTCACTAGGGTACTTAAATAAACAATAGACAAGGCGATACAATAAGTGCTGAAGATCAGTTTGTTGGACATATTGTTACGGCACGAGTTGCCCATCCTTGCGTGTGTGTTGGTGCGTGCGCACGAGAAGAACGACAAGTAGGAGGCAGTGAAGCCTGCTGAAACACGGCAGAAGGGCGTCGGCCTATCAAAACGCTACTTTCAGATTTTTTTTCACGCTTCTTCCCATTCAGGACAACAGATGGTTCTAGCTACAACGCTTCCTTCAATTTCGTATACAATTAAAAACCAAATTTCAACATTCCCCTACCTTCCCCTCTTTCTTCTTTTAATGAAATATTCGCTCGTGTTTTTTTTTTTTTGCAACAGCTTAAAACCGCAATCAACATCATCTGTCTTCCAGCGGCCAATGGAATAAGGCAAAAGTTTCACGCTTAAATAATAACTGTGCAATCTTTTTTTTTCTTCTCCTTCTTCATGGCCATGGGAAAAATATAGAGATACGTATATGGTAAACTTATAGTCGACACACATCATTATTTTACTCAATCTGTCACGCTCAAAAGATATTGAAAGAAAAAAATTCGATGGTGTGTGACGCGATAGGGCAATTTAACACAGATAAAAAAATATAAAATGGATCTTCAAAAGCTTCCCTGGAATAAAACAAATATATGTGTTGGGAAAAAAAGAAAATTTTTGATAAATTTATCGATCCTTGGTCGCTTGGTATAGAGTGATTGTTATCAATCTCGTTCGACCATTCACTCCTGTTTTGAGTTCGATCCCCACTCAATGTTTTGTTCTTGGAGCCCAGTTGAATAATGGTCAGCAAACTCCTTCAGGAAATCATTACTTCCGCAGAGTTCGATCTTCACTGTATATTCCACATTTATAACCTTGTGCCAGACTAGGCTAATTTAGGGTGCATTGAGTAATGGCTGGTACACTAATTCCAAACACTGATTCGCACGACAGACTAATCCAGCTCTTCATACCACCATTTTAAATGACAACTGTCGGGAAATAATGGTTGCCAACAAGTTCTTCTTTACAGTAGGGTTTCGATTCTTGTTGGGTGCTACACACTTATAGATTTAGGTCAGACTAATATGAATAAATAATTTTTAAACAATTTATTCTTACTTATGCTGTTTCTGTGGGCTTTTAATTAATATGAAATAATTGAGTTCAAATTAGTGTAATTTCCTTAAAAAAGACAAAGTAATTATTTTATTTTCTATTAATCCAGAAAAATGATTTTATTTTTTGAAGAACAGGTATTAATGAATTTATGATCTGAGAAAAAAATTCTCTTTCAAAACGAGAGAGACTCTGGAATTTTCTGTTTTGCTTGTTTTCTCGACTCTTAAGTGTTTCTTTATTTTGACGCGGGGAAAACACAAAAAGTTCTCAATTAAAATAACCAGTATCGAAAATAAATAGATACCAATCTTATCTTAGTCTGGCACAAGGCCATGGTGGTAAGAATCTGTTCCTCTAATTCACTGACTGACGAATGATTTTCCTTCTCCGATAATCAGGATTTGAGATTTTGGCTTTTATTTGAATTCCAGCGTCGAAACACTGGTGCTTCTTTGAAATATACAACTAACTTAGCCACACGGTAAATTATGGAAAAGATATTTCAACATTGTTCCAGGTGTGGCGTTGCGTTGAAATTTAGGTCATTAAATAGAATAGATTAATAGAATAGATTCATTTAATCCTAAGAATCATAAACAAATATGTGAGTAAAAACAGAACTTGTTTATGTTGATATGAAACAATTATTTGGTATTTTTATCTTTTATTATATTATGCATCTGATTTCAATCTATATTTTCTTTATTCCGATACATTACAAACGGACACACACACACACACACACACACACACACACACACACACACACATACATACATACATATTTTCTCAGATATAGAGATAGACAAATAGGTTTATAGCTTAATTATGAAAAAAAAAACATTTATTTTATACAACAGATATTTTTCATTGTGATTTATTTTTATTGGAATTTTCAGATGAAAATTCAACGCGTCAGCTAAAGATTTTATTGATGTTCAATGATGTGCGCTCACCCCAATACACAAACACACACACTTTATATATATATATATATATATATATATATATATATATATATATATATGCATGTTTCATTAAAAACGACAGACAAGGTACTACGGTTAAGCTTTTTATTTAATTTTTCTTGTGTTCTAAGAAGAGCTTTCTTTTCTGGACAAAGGGTGTGTAAGAACTGTCCAAATGGTTTATATTTCCGAGCGCTTTCGGCTATACCTTTAGCTATTATCAAGGATGATTCGATTTTTCATTTTAATTGAGTGTGTGCGTTCTGTGTATGTCTTAGTGTGTAGTAGAGATGTTTTTAATTTCCGAATACGGTTAGCACATTGCGGCTTTGTTAAACTACGAACAAAGCCACAATATGCTAACCGTATTCGTTAACCTTACTTGTGGAAGCTTCTAGATCTTAATGTAACTTAAGTTTAAGCGTCTAATAATTTTTTTTCTTTTTCTTTCAGATTTAACAACTTAAGTTTTTGACCATTTCAAGCCTTGAAAGATTAACAATCAAAGAATGTGTTAAAGTTATGGAAGCCTATTACGGAAATGGACGTTCAAACAGAAATGCATTTCGCGCACTTCGCGATTTTTGGGGTCAACATAATCGAGCAACCGAAAGTGCAATTGGAAACGATGTAACGTTGTTGTGGAGAGTTTCCAATCCCAGCGTGTGATGACGAATAGAGGGGTCTGGATTTTCAGCCACATTCTCGTGCACTGCGGAAACGAGCACGCGATGGTGTTTTCACATCTGCCACCGACCCAGTTTGTTTGAATTTACGAACAATTTTTCCAATTCCAATCTTGAAACTTTAATACGTTGTTTTATTGTCAATCATTCCATGGTTGAAATTACCAAAGACTTAAGTTGTTAAATATGAAAGAAAAAGAAAAACTCATTAGACGTTTAAACTTAATTCACATTTAAAATCGGTCCAAGTTATTGAAACACTCTTTATATGTGTGCGTGTTGATAGAAAAATAAATATATTTAAAACTTTGCATTAAGGAATGAAACACGTTGATACCGGAAGGAAGATATATGTATTCATAGTTATTTTCCAAGGGTAGCTTAGCTGAGACTCAAGGACGTAAGTATAGGGGGACCCAGTGGGGATCGAACTCACTACAAAGCCGTAACTGTTTTAGTGAGACAAGCTTGCTAACCATTACACCGCATCGAGGTGTCCAAGTCTTTATTCATATATTTCGGCAGGAAGAGCTTTTCTCTCACTGTTCTTTTTAATAACCCTCAAAATAATTAAAGAATTAATGATATCTTATTTTTCCTGGTTACAATGTTTTCACAGACATAGTAAATCACTAACTTGTCATATGGGTTTTTGCTGTCATTGTAGCCCCTCTTCCCCTATAGTCCTCAATCAAATTACACAATTTTCATCTTTTGTAGAGGGAACAGTTATCACTTTCAAAATAAATGAATTTAACACGTACGTAGTTCTTTTAATCTATATTAAGTCGAGAAGATAAAAATATACTTATTTGTGTACAAATATAGACGTCAGGAAAAGAAAAGAAAAAAAACATTTATATGCTTAGCTGGAGTGTGTGTGTGCATGCGTGTGTGAGAGAATGAGAAAGAGTGAGTGCCATGTGGGTGGGTGAAATTAAGAAGTCGTCTTGCCATGCGATTAAATCTCCCTGAAGGCGAGACGTCTTCTAACATCTTGAT